TATACCTACATATACATACATACATATGCATACATACACACATTTTATATATACATATATATATACATATACATATACATATACATATATATATGGTATAGTGTTTGATATATATATCTAGATTGGGAGTCACATGGAGGGACGGCTATAGACAGGTGGTTATGAGGACCCTTGTTTATACTAAGACCTTGGAGGGCTTTAGTTTCTTTGACACCAGGATCACCTTCATCCTTCTGAACCATAAAATTGAAGGACAAACATGCGACCTGTCAGAATATTTATATGAGACAGAAAATAGCATTTTCCTAGCTCATCTGTAAGGAAGACTATGAGAAGGTTCCCCTAAACCAGCAGAATGACTCAGATATTACAGAGCCCAGTGAATCGGGCCCATAGCATTGCAAAACCAAAACAAACACACAACCAGGCTTGCAAGGTTGAAGGTTGTAAGTAATGCTGGATGAGCAAAGGTCTCTAGGTTATGTAAGAAAATTTCATCATGTCCAGATGATCAGCTCTAGGGAACATTGGGCCACAGCTAAACTACTGTAGCTTTGGCAGCCAGGGAGTAAACTGGGGCAGAGAGCGGTTCAGGTGCCATTTTTAAGTAGATTTGCTTGGAGTCTTTCTAAAGTTATTTTACTATAAAACAATAGTCTTAAAAAAAAAAAGACTTATTTAGTTAGTTTACGTATATGAGTACTCTATCTGCTTGTACACCAGCATGCCAGAAGAGGGCATCAGATCCCATTATTGGTGGTCCTGATCCACCATGTGGTTGTGCTGGGAAATGAACTCAGGACCTCTGGAAAAGGTTAAGAACCAGTGCTCTGTAACGACCTGTTCTCCCCTACGTTTGGGGGCCAAGTGTCCCAGTCTGTTCAGGTCAGTCAACAGGGTCTAGCAAGAGAGAGAGTGGGGATGGAAGGACAAGAGACGCAAAGAATGGAGTCAAGACAGAGAGTCTGTTCAAGTCCCCTTTATTGAAAGGAAATCCTGGGTATATATAAGCACAAGCAGGGGAACACAGCTGAAGACACTACCACATGCGCCTTGCAGCTGGGGGCACTAAACAACAAAACAAGATATGTGAGAAAAACAAGATGTTTATCAGAGTGTGCTCAGCTGTTGTGGGCTGTTGAAAACCAAGTCTCTTGTCAGGGTATATGGCCTGAGATGGCTGCAAAGATGATGGCTGCTTTCTGCTAGGAGTCGGCTCCCAACAGTGCTCTTCAACTGCGGAGCTGAGCCATCTCTCCAGCCCCTAAAGTGATAGTCTTATTTTGTTCCTAAGGGTATAAATAGTCAGTGTAGTCCTCCCCCCGCTCCCCCACCCCCACTCTCTTGGAAGAGGCAAGGCAGCCCCATATCCATACCAGGGGAGAGAAATGGCACTGTCTTTGGTGAGCTCATGCCGTTTGATTTCCAGGAGAAGTATCCTCTTCAAGGTGGGTCTGTTAGGCTGACAGAGAAGAAGCTATTACTGTTCTTCTTAAAGCTTTAAGGCCTTGAGAACTGATAAGCTAAGCTGCATATTGCTATTACCAATATTATCAGCAGCACCTTAAGAAAAAGAGAGTATACACTGAAACCTAAGTGTCTGAACAGACAAAGTCTCTTAAGTGTCATAAGGACAGATATATATCATGTGTGTCATATGTGTTCATGTGTGTTCATATGTGTCATAAGAACAGATATATGTCATAAGAAGAGGTAAGTGTCATAAGAACAGATATATGTAGGGGTCTGTGGGTTTGAGGTTATACTGGCCAAAGGTTATAATTATAACCAGGTTCAAAGATTAAGGTTTAATCCTTAAAAAGAAGTTTAAGACTTAAAAAACAGACATTCAGGAGATCAATGAATGAAAGTTGTCTTTTGGTGAAACATAAAACTGACAGGCTCTTAGTTAGAATAAGAGGGGGTGGAGGGGACACGCAATTGATAACTCAGAGACCCAAACAACATTGAATAACTAGCACTCCAGAAAGATAAGAGAGCACAAGGGATGTAAGAACAATTACAGGCCAATAAGCAGGTAGACCTAGGGAGTGTGAATAAACTAGTGACCTCAGCAACCCAATATGAACCCTGAAGAAGCAAAGAACCTGAGCAGGCTAAAAAGTGATGGTTTCAAATCAATAGTAAGAAGACATGCAATGAGAAAGCCCAGGACCAAGTAGCTTTACTGCTGACACATCGCCCAACTTCTAAAAAAAAACCTAATAGCAGTTATTAAACTATCAAACATAAGTGACATCAGGGAATTCTCCAGATTCAGCCAATGAGACCAGCATTAACTACCCTGATACAGAAGCCAACAAAGACCTAACAAAAACTAAAGACCAATAACCCTAATGAACACGGATATTTAAAAATAAATTCAATAAAATACTAGCAAAAAATAATAAAACATCCACATTTAAAAGTTCATATGCCATGATCAAGTGTGTGCAAGCCAAATACATGAGACAGAAAGAAATCATGATGAAAATTAGAAACTCTTAGGACCTAATATTAAAAACAAGAATCAAGTCAACAAAACAGGGAAAATATTAACATATGAGTGTGAAATCTGACTGAGTCCTCTTCATACATTTTTAATTCAATAACAACTGACCACGAGTAAAGAGAAAAATCATGTTATCAAGACTATTTTTAAAAGATCATCTATGTGGAAGGCTACAGCCTTTAAACAGTTGACACAGGAGAGGGGACTGCTTATATTTTTGCAAATAGACTTCAAAACTCAGAAAAAAAGATAAAACCTTTGAGAAATAAACTGGCTCACACTAGCACAATTGGAAAGAGACTAGCTGGGTATTTTTCAGAAATTAGATCCACAATAAAACCAATCCTCTGACAAGGAAAATTCCAGCTCTTAACCCTGCTCACAAGCGCTGGGAGCAGGGGAAAGCCCACAGTATTGCACAATGAGACTGCTCCAGACCCTCCACAGGGCAAGCATGCCTCTGATGCAAAATCCTGGTGAGTTCACTGCAGCAAAAGAAAACTGCAAGGATCTCATTAAATCTGGAGACAAAGATTCTAAAAGGAACGTGGGCAAATCAATAAAGAAAAATGTAAAAATGACAAAACCTTACAGAGACACAAGTTCACTTCAATAGTTTAACTCACAACATGGACTGAAAAATGAAGAAAGCCTTGTGACCAGAATACTTATGCAGAAAAGGGATTTCAGTAAATTGAATATCTATGGTAAGATCCATAGGAAACTCCCATCAGGGTGAAATAAAAGAAAACTTCTGATTATGACTGATGGTATCAACAGAAAGCTACTGAAAGTAAAGTAAGCACAGATTTTTACAGTCATTTCTTCCAACAAAGGGATCCTATCTAGAATATATTTCCAGCTTCCATGTACAATGAGAGAAGCACAGCAGTCCATTAGAGATGGGGCGAGCGTCTCAAGGAAGAAACTGCCAAAGAGGCTAATATATATATATATATATATATATATATATATATATATATATGAATGTATGTATGCATGTATGCATTCATATATATATGAGCTAACAAGAGCAGTGTATACACATATATTTATATACATATATACACATATGTATACAGATTATATATATATACACATATGTATGTATATATACATGTACATATATATTTGCATATAAAGAAATATAGAAAAGTATTACCCACCAGGAATAAACAAGTTCAAACCAAAACAAACAAAATATAGAAAGTAAGGATAGACATTTGTTCTAGTTACATTTTGTCACAGTAACAAACACCATGGCCAAAAAGAACTCAGGGGTGGAGGGTATTTATTTGGTGTCCACTTCCAGGTCACAGTTCCTTGGGGGAAGTCAGGGCAGGAACTCAATTAGATACTTAAAGCAGAAACCACAGAGAAATACTGCCTATTGGCTCACTCTCAAGTCCACGTTTAGCCAACTTTCTTATACAGCTCAGGACCAGAAGCCCAGGGAATGGTACCACCTACACTGGGCTGTGCCCTTCTACATCAAGGAAATCAATCAAGACCACCCCACCACCACCGAGACACACCACAGCCAATCTGATCTCAGCAATCCCTCAGCTTAGACTCTCTTCTAAGGTGACTCTAGGCTGTGTGTCAAGTTAACAGAGCTGACAAGAGCAATGTTGACAGAGAATCTAGAATCTTCATACACTTCTGGTGGGATGTAAATTAGGACACAATCTTGAAGGATTCTTCAGAAGTATTTACAAGGCATACTCTCCCATCTGGCAACTTCCCCCTGGGAATAAATTCAGTAAGAATACCTCAGTATTGAATAAATTCAGTAAGAATACCTCGTATTGAACCAAAATCATACACAAGGATGTTCATACACAATACCAAACACATGGTGATATATTCAATGTGCAGTGTGCACCAGTGGGATTTTCTGCTGACGTGAATGGAATCCACTCAGGGATCTAGATGTGAAGGAATACAGTGTTTCACTCTCTCTGGGAAAAGTTCAAGGCAGGCAAAACTTGTTTGTGGTTGTGAGAATTGTCAGGGAACAAGCCGGAGGTTTGATGGTTCTGTCCTTAGCGGGTGATCTGGGTTGTAGTTACACTGGTTTGTCTCCTTAAATGTTAGACTGTCCACCTATGATTGACACTATCCAAATATATGCAAAGTACTGATACTGAAACACTTTTGTTATTAAGAGAGTCAAAAACAAAACAAAGAAACAAAAAAGAATTAAAAGTTCATGTACGCATATGTGAACCTTTCTGCTGCTCCGCTGTTCCATGGATTCTGACTCTCTGGAGTGAGTTTTGCCTCCCTCGACCGCCAATCCTCCCTTTTCCCTTCTTTGGTCTCAGAATTCAAACCTAGCAAGTACTTCAAACTCCACCAGTTTTGGAGCAGCACAAAAGCCTCCTGGCACACAGGTGCGCTGCCCACAGCCCTCACCTCGCGCCCCCAACTGCCCTATAGAGCGCCAACTGCCATTCCCCGGGGCTGGGGTCCAGGAGGCCAGGCCATGTGGCTCATCCTGCTTCTGCTGAGTGGGCTGACTGGACTTGGCGGCCTTAGCGAGCCCCAAACAGAAGGCAGTGAGTAACAATCCATCTTCGGGCCTTTGAGAACCAGCCGGGCCCCTCTTTCCCTCCATGTTGTCTTGGGCGCCCCAGAATCGCACTTTAATATCCCAGGATCACCCCGGCACAAGCCCAAGCCACCAACTCACCACAGCTGAAATGCGAAACGGATCCATGGGGCTTTCCCACAGGCCCCAGGACCCTAAGAAACCAGATATTGTGGGATGGGGTGGTCCGAGGCTTGGTTCCTTCAACCCTTCAGTTTTAGATCCTGTTTCAGGTTGATGATGCTTCATAGGATAAGGTTGAAGGTTCTCAGTGTGCGAGGGGTGTAGCTCTAAGAAATGCCTTTTGCACCTTGCAGCTCGTGAGAAATTACACGTGCAAGTCACAGTGCCAGAGAAAATCCGGTCCGTCACAGGCGATGGCTACGAAACACAGGTAATTAACTGCCAATTTGCTTACGATTTAGATGTCACACAAGTATTTTTCTTGTCGAGAGGTTACCTTGGTATTTCTCATCCATGCTCACTCAGTAGATTTTATATGTACGCCCTGTTTTTGTCAACATTAACAATGCTTAGAAAAATCACTGCTGATGACGCTGGATTTCTCAGTCCCACGTCCTTCGGTGCTTTTGAATACTCACTCTTTGACCCGGTCCACCAAAGGCTATCTTCCCAACCACCTGTCCATCTGTGTTTGGAGGAGAGATGATGGTTGTCATTTGATAGAACTCTTTTTTTCCACTTTGTAAATATGTTTCTCATTAAGATTATTCTTTTCAAACTGTTTTTGCTTTTCTTTAAGATTATTTTCCTTTGTTTTTTGTTTGCTTGCTTGCTTTTGTTTTGTTTTGTTTTAAGTAAGCTCTAGAGTCGTTTGTGTTTCTTGAAGTAGCAAACCTTTGTGGCTGGGCCACAAATAGCCCGGTCATTAAATGCTCATGTGTCCTTAGCATTTCTCCGTCTGTAGTTCTGAAGGGTAAAGCTTGTAAATTTTTATACATCTTTTTGAAAAAAAAATGTGTGTGTGTTTATGAAATTTTAATCCTTAAGTTAAAGGGGCAATTTTAAAAAGTGGTTGTTTTCTTTTTAACTGGAAAACAAACAAGGGTTCTACCCGGAGGGACTCACCAGTATCAATTTGTAGCATACAGGGTACAAAATAAAAAGCCGTTGTCTTAACTGTAAAATTCGGGACTCAAATTGTCTCTCTTGTTAATGGCTGCATGCCTATTACCCTGTAAGGGACCTGCTGGCTCCCTTAAAACAAAGAGGCTGTTGTGGTTACTGACTGGAGGGACACAAGGCACATTTACAATTAGCGTGTTTAGTAGAGAATATGCTAAGAGGAAGACACTGAAAGTGTAAGTGGATGGAACTCACAGAAGAATAAAGCACCAAGTGCAAGTGTGAAAGCCGAGGATCTGCAGAGAATATGATGTGACACACAGGAGGCTGGTGGAAAGAGAGAAGGGCAAAACTCAGCTGGGGTAACTGGAAATCTGGGAGGGGTAAGGTCCACTTTTTTTTTTTAATTGAGAAATTTTTTTTTTTTTTTTTAAAAAAGGAGTCCTTGGATAAGGTTTACAAAATGAAGCAGGAGAGAAAAATAAATAAATAAAACCTAATTCTTTGACACATCTGAATACCAGGGGAAGAAGGTGTCTTAAAGACAGAATAACATGAGAGTTGGAGAGACGGCATAGTGGTTAAGAGTGTTTGCTCAATCTTGAGGACTCCAGCCCAGAGCCCAGCGCCCAAGCTAGGTGTTTGAGTGCCACCTCCTGGCCTCTGTGTGTACACATTCATGGATGCATTAATTAATTAATTAATTAATTAAATCACCTAAAAATGTATGCCATGAGACAATAAGTAAACAAATAGGCTTATTAACAGGAGGAAAGAGGAATACAGCAAATGCTTTGCTTCCTAGTTTTTGATAAATCTGGTTATATAGTTATTTATTAAAATGAAATATCTTTCAGAAATGGAACATAGTAATGATTCCAGACTAAGCCAGCATGGTGACTCATGTCTGTAGTCCCAGCACCTATGAGGCTGAGACAAGGAAGTCACACTCTAAGTTTGAAGCCAGCCTGGCCTACGTAAGTACCAGGCCATCTAGAACTACAGCATGAGAACTTTTCTAAATAAATAAGCAAGCAAACAAAGAAATAAATAAATAACAAAAATCCAAGTTGATAGCAAAGACCATTGTTAAAATAATGTGCTCCAGGGGCTGGAGAGAAGGCTGTGTTTAAAAGCCTGTGCTGCTCTGGAGTTTGGTAGCCAGCAACTCCCTTAGGAGATTCGAGCAGCCACAAGTCCAGCTTCAGAAGATCTGGCGCTCTCTTCTGGCCTCCCATGGATACATATGTATGTACCACCTGACAGATATACAGAATAATTTTTAAATTTTTAAAATATTTTTAACATTTGTTTTTATTTTTGTTTTATTTTAATTATTTTATGCATGAGTGCTCTGCTGCATGTACACCTGCATGCCAGAAGAGGATATCAGGTCCCTTTATAAAAGATTGTGAAAACTATGTGGGTGCTAGGAATTGAACTCAGAACCTCTGAAAGAGCAGCCAGTGCTCTTAACCACTTAACCACATCTCCAGCCCTTTAAATATTTTTAAAAAGAAGATACTTAAGCAATATTATACTCTGATCACAATAATGTAAATGTGCACATCCAAGTTGCAAGTGTTTGAAAATTATTTTGTGTTCATTGTTTGGGCTTTTTTTCTTTTTTCTTTTCTTTTCTTTTTTCTTTTCTTTTGTTTTTTTGAGTACTTATGATTGAGTCCACTGCCATATACATGCTAGGCAAGTACTCAACTACTGAACTACATCCCAAGGCTGTGTTTAAATTATAAATAAACTTGCAAACACACTCAGTTGTCAATAAAGATCCCTTCAGATGTAGCATATATATCTAGCACCACTTTACTTATAACTGTAAAACAAATGAAAACTAATTCCAGCAATAGGATGAATGAATGAACTCTGCTATATTCAGAGAGTGAACCTATCACACTGGAGGGGAGAAGTTGAGGAGACTGATGCACCAGTAACAGTGACGGTCCCAGGGGCTGCAGCAATGCCAACTGTGTCTGAGGCCATGCTTTAAGCAGATAGACTATGTGTTTACGGAAGGACAAAACTTATGTAAGTCAACAATTATGCAAAACAAAATACTGTTTAAATATTCATAACCAGTGTGACCATGAATGGTCTCCACGAGGTTTAGCATCCTGACCAGCTGGGCGATGTCAGAGGGCTATGCCGTGCTGAGGGCGCATGACACCACCTTCAAGTACTATCAGTGTTTGGCTTTTTAGATGATGACATAGCATTTTACTGATTTTTAAATCTAGTATGGCTAAAGTACATGACAATTAAAAACTATAACCAACGGGGCTTACAAAGAAGTCAGAACACCCTTTACAAATAGCATAAAGTTGAAGTGTTGGAAAGTATCCCATAAGAGATCTAGAATGAAGTAACACTGTCCACTGTTATTTTTTATTTACTATTGTCCTGGAAATACTTACTGACCTATGCAAGAAGGAAAGAGAGCAAGGGAAAAGGTGAATGGGCAAAAGAATTGGAGAGAAAGGGAGGAAGACATCATTATTTACAGGTGGACAAACAAAATAAAATCCATAATAAGTCACATCAAAATCCAACAGCAAAAATTATATAAGCATGATGGAAAAAATTTTTAAATGCACTGTGTTTTTAGCTTGGCAAAGGAAAAGGTATAAAGCAGAATTTCAAAAAAAGGTCTTTAACTTACACTAATAACAAACAATCTAATTGCAAGCAAATCTCACAAATGTGTAATCTTTTCACTGAAGACAAGGAAATGAAATGTGCCAAACTATGCTATTAATTACACACTTGCGGGTTAAATGATGTCAAGTCTCGGCGGACAGGCAGATTGAGAACAGGTAACTCCAGGAAGCATCTCTAAACCGTCATACTGGTACTGGTGTAGTAGTTGTTGAGCCCCAGATCCACACCATGAGTAGATGTCATAAAACCCACAAACACCACACACCGAGCCCTCGGTCTCCTGCTCTCCAGTACGTGGAATTTCTATGAAGCAATCTTGCTGTATTCTGCCCAGATCTGAAGCATGAGTTTTATACTAATCTCAGTCTTTAGCCAGCTAGTACAGTTACCAGATTAAAATGTAACCCACTCTTTAGAAGGTCTGTCTGCTTGGATAAATTAAAGGATGATAAATCACACCACATTTCATTAAAACAAGTCAACATCAAACTGTAAATTTTCTCTTTTTGTTGTGTTAATATGATTTGGGGGATATAGCATTCATATAAAAAAGTTTTTCTTTATAACTCCCTCACCCCATTTTCCTTTTTAAAAAAATATATTCTCCTTCCAGGTGACCTACAATCTCAAAATCGAAGGAAAAACATACACCCTGAACCTAATGCAAAAGTAGGTGACTGTCACATCTTTAACCGCCTTGCTGTCGGCTATCACTATTGCTAGTGATTACCTACAGTACCATGATTTTATGTCCAGGAATTTTCCAGTTATGGGCTGCTCATCTTGTCCTCTTGTTTTCTCTTCTGAGACAGAATCTTTCTGTGTAGCCAAGGCTGGCCTAGTACTCATTAACTCCTCGCCGCCGCCCGCCCTCCTCCCGCAGCCCTTCCCTTCCCCCCTACCCCACCACTGTCTCCCCAGTGCTGGGGTCATAGGCTCACGCTGCCACTCCTTAATTTGTACTTCACCTTTCTCCACCTTTGTGTCTAAAAGACTATGAAGTCCCTGAAACAAAAATCCTTTTTTCCCCCAACATGAGAAATTTTCCCTTATGCTACAATTTTATGCTACAGTTTTATTTAACCGTTGTTACTTCTCCTCATAAGATTCAGGCTTTGGCTCTACCTTCCCATGTGGGTGTGCCCACTGTTCTGAACTCTGCTCTGTGAGTGTTACCTCCTGTGACCCTTTTCTACCTCTCTCTGGGACACAGAGGCTTCTCTTTGGAAATGGTTTGTTTCCCATGATTCTCTCCCACATGTCTTTGGGACTCGGAGGCTTTGGAAATGACTTGGTGATTGCTTCTGCCTGATCCTTCTGGGTCTTTCTATGGGGCTCAGCATTTATATCAGTCCTTCATTCCAGCGTCTTAGCAATAAAGGGGCTGCTGGGGATTCAGTTCTCAACTGCCTGTAGGATAGTTTAGGTTGTTACCGATTTGTGTCAAACATGTCCTGGGACGGGAAGCTTCCTTCTGTCTGTGGTCTGTGCATAGCAAGCATCTCCATCTATTTAGCTGCCAATAGGAAGACACTATCATTTGAGTGGCTTGCAAACAATAGCTTTGACTAGTTGTGGGAAATTTAGCAGAGGTAAAAAGATTCAGACACTGAAAAATATTTTTCTGCAAACTTATTTAGAGATAATAATAAACTTTTAAAAGTTAAACCTGTGGGAAGCAAATTTAAGTGTATTTAAGTGCATTTTCTCTTGGCTTTTGCAGGGCGTTCTTGCCTCCCAACTTTAGAGTCTACAGTTACGACAACGCAGGAATCATGAGGCCTCTTGAGCAGAAGTTTCAGGTATGAGTTCCAACTCGCTCTGCCTGGGTGGTATGATCCTGGGATGCAAGGATATCCTCCTTAGTTCTGACATGAACGCAGTCATTTCCTTTTGGTGATATGTGCCTAGCCCATGAAGCAGGTGGTTACCAAACCAAATCAGACTATAGTGTTTCCAAGCTATGGGTTTCCCAGTAGTGCACTTGTGTGCGTGTGTGACAAGTCAGGATTGGAATCTGAGAAGACAAGGGAACCCTGAGCTGTTCTGTGAAGTTCAAAGGACCAAATGAGAACATATAAACTTTCATAGACATTTAAGAAAACACTATATTTTTCGCACATTTGAAACACTTGAAACTTTGTTTAGCGATGTGTACATTGGGGGTGGGAGAGGGGGAGCAACTGAAGTGTGGGTAGAACTGCAGAACTCCCCATGTCTGAAGTGCACTTTATTACTGCCATTGCCCTGCCCTGTGCTTGCTGCTTCCTCTCCCTCCTCCTCTCCCTCCTTCCTCCTCCTCTCCCTCTTCCTCATCCTCCTCCTCTTCCTTTTTTCTCCTTTGTATTTTCATTTTCTAGACAGTGATGCTGTCATTTTTAAAGGCTAAGATTTTAACAAAACAAGTAATAGACATGGCCCTTGTATCTTGATTTCTTTTCCTGCTACTGTGATAAGAATACCCTGGCAAAGGTGACTTGAGGGAGAAAGGGTTTATTCCGGCTTAAAGCGGAAGTTCATCGCAGTGATGAAGCTGAAGCTTAAAGCAACTGTTCACATTGCATCCATGGTTAGAAACAGAGCATGATGGGTGCATCCTACCGCTGTGCTCCCTTTCTTCAGTTGTAAAGTCCTGTATCCAAGGCGGGGAGTAACGCCAGCCCACGGTGGATTGGTATTCCCAACTCAATGAACAAAATCACGATAATTCCCCCAACAGGCATGCCCAGAGACCCACCTCCCGGGTGACTGTAGATTCTGTCAAATTAACCATTAACACTATCATCCCTTACCTTAACCGTTGTTTGCCAAGAAAAGCAGAAACATATGAGTTGATATTGATATATAAAAAAAATGCATATTGTCCAATGGTACTGTAGTGTTAGAGAGATTTACATGTGTGTTATGTATGTATAAGAGACAGACAGACAGATAAACACAAGGTCACAATAGCCCACACTTGAACATGAAGACATATACCTTTAGTCTCAGCACATAGGAGGTAGAGGCAGATGGACTAGGAGTTCAAGGTCACCCTCAGATACATAGGAAGTTTACCAGCCTAGACTATATCAAGAAAAAAAAAAACAGTAAGAACAACACAAATCTTATGAAGCAAAAGCCTAAATGGTTACACATATGTACAATCTCAGAATTCAGGAAGCAGAGGCAGGAGAGCTGGGAGTTCAAGGGCAGCCAGGATACATCGAGTGTGAGACCACTCATACACATGGTTAGACTCTGCCTTCTTGTCTCCAAAGTACAACTTTAAGAACAGTCTGAGAAAAGAATGCTTTACTTAAAACATGCTGAGCTGTTAAACGTTGGTCTCAAATGCAGCAGACACAGGGCTTCACATAGATAACCCGGGTTTCTGTCCTTCCCTTAAACCTGTTTCTAGACTAGGAAAATTCAAGTCCATCGAGTAGGTTTCTTTAAAAAAGAAAAGTTTACAGAATTGTTTTTATGATTTTCAAAACCTGTCTGTATTCATCCCTAAAATCGCACTATCCTGGAGACGACGACATAAGCCAAAGAACAAATCAACTTTGCAGACAACCATACTCCATCTCTTGATACCGGCACACTAGGGATTGGGAGTCAATAGACGCATTTTCAGAGAATCCAAGCACGCAGCCTCCAGAAAATGGGGAGATTCTATTAAAAGCCTCCTCCCCAATCATTTTGTGCTTGTTTCCTTATATATCTTGTAATTTTTTGTTTGAAATTAGACATTTTGCATAGTGTCATGTAAGCAGTCCGAGTTTCGTCTCCCCCACCCCTTGACACTTGTAATTGTTACTAGTTTTTTTGGTCTGATAGCTGCCTGGCAAAATCAGTCCTCTCTCCTGCCCTCCTGTTAAGTCTGTGATGTCATTTCATAGGAAGATAAAGGTTAAGGTTCTGCCCATGGGCAGCAGTGGTCATTCAGGGTTCTCTTTGCCTTCCCTCTGGCCACACCACTCTCAGACTCTGTTCCTTTCTAGTCGCTGCCTTGACTTCACAATGCTCCAGGGCACGTACCATTCTGCAGCTTCCTCCAATCCAGTGTGCCTGTCTTGGAGGGACAGCTGCGCAGATCAAGGTTCCATGTCTGGTGCCACCTAGAATACTCCTCCATCTGCTTCCCACCCGTCTTTCATAGGCTAGCTGGCTGAGCACTGAGAGAGTTCATGGATCTAGCATAGCCCTCTCCCTACAAACTGTACCTTTCTGCCTGTGTTTAATATGCACAAGCTTTCCCTTGAACTCTTGCAAGTAACGTCTCAGAAAAGACTGGTTATAATCACCTGCCTACCTCTCTCCTGGTCGACCTCTGAGTCAGCCCTGGTGATCAGAAAGCACATCCTGCCAGCATCAATGTCCACTCAGATCAATGTTCATCTTCAGGGCTCACTCTTGGTCTTTATTAAAAGCTGACGCTAATGAAAGGGTTTTCTGAAGCACACTCTGAACCAGTTCTTTTGAGCTTTTCTCTATCAGAGTAGGACGGGTACATCAGTGCTGACCTTGACTTCTGATTACATGAGGCAAACCCAAAAGTGGAAGCTTCAGATGATTGGGGTGGGGGGACAGATGACATCTCAATCTCTGCTGTCACTAGTCGTTGAGTTAGACAGTCTCCAGTTTCCCAGCATCCCTTGCTTCTCCCCACAGGTTTTCCTGTGACCCCATCTCCCTATGCTCTTCTGGCTTCTCCTTCCACTCTGTTTCCTTCCGTACAGAGCGAGGCCTTGTTGGCAATTCTCACTGGGCTGATTTGGAAGGGTTTCTATAGTAAAACCTACCTGGTATGTGCTGCTAAAATATTCTAGTCTTTCCTAATTGTCTTTTTATGTTCCATAGTTCTACACATGCCCACAGGCATGCACAAACATAAACACACACGTGATGTGTGCTTCTTTTTTTTGAGACAGGATCTTACTATGTAGTCTTGGCTAGCCTAGAACTTTCTATGTTGACTGAGTTGGCCTTAAACTCACAGAAATCTACCTGCTTCTGTCTCCTGATGGCTGGATTTAAAGGTATGCACCATCACACATGCTAATATTTTTAAATCACATATTGGCCATGTTTGATGATGCAGTCAAAATACTTGTGAATCTCTGAAGAGTTTTCAGTCTTGAGCTTGGAACCATAGCTCAGTGGTAGAGTTCTTGCCTAGCATGAATGAGGTTTTAGGTTCAAATCCCAGCGCTGTAAGAAATCAACTTCAAGCATCTCCAGTCTTGTTCTAGTAACTGGTCTGGAACCAGCATCTAGCTTGCCATCTTCTGCCCCCACAGATTATTGTCCCTACTCCAGAGAGATCACTTTTTGGTGCCACAAAGCCAAAGACCCTAGGCTGAGTTTCACCTGCAGTTTTTCCAACAGCCAGAGCAGACCACTGGGAATCTCACAAATTCTCAGCTCACCTCCTCGGGGGAAGTCACATAGTATTTACACAGCCTGGGACCAGGGCACTGTCTCTCTTTGCCTCTTGTATGGTCCAGTGCTTTCTGTCAGGGCTGCTGCTGGTGGGTGAGTCACTTACTATGGAAGCTACACAAAGACTAGATATTGTCCTGTGATCAGGCTGGCAGCCATCTTGGATCCAGGTGGATTCTGCCCACCCTTCCCTGAAGAGGAATTTTCATTCTGTAAGCATCCTATCCTCAAAGACAGACTAGATGAGAATAATGTTAACACTCCCCTGGAGGTTGGAATAGGTGAGTGGAGGTAGCCACTGAAAAACTCTTGGCTCTCTCATGACACATCCTCAGCTCAAGGGCAGATACAGGAATCCCACCTGAGCAGTGCATCTTGAGACCCCCTTCTGTGTGTCTCTCTCTTCCAAGGCTTGCATCTCATTTCCTCAGATACCCTGGCCACCTCCCAGAACATGAAACTTCCTTGACTGGGAGATTGGGTAGGGGAAGCACTTGCAGCAGAGTCTTGGAAAGCCAGTAATGAGATGCTCAGAGAATGCAATGACCCTGTTTCTGGGGTTATTACTGCCTCTGTGAGAGGGCTCTGTGCAAGCCAATCTAGCAACATACTCAAATACTCTTGAAAAATAATTTCTCTTTTTGATTCATTTTGCTGCTCTAGGAAACCCTTTCCCAGAGAGAGAGGACAGAGAGACAGAGACAGACAGACAGACAGACAGACAGACCATATGAAAATACAACTGTAAGAACTCTTTTGAAAGTTGTGTGCCACTCTACTCACTGATCTTATGGATCTACTTTGGGAACAACTGACATTTGCTACACACACAACATAGCTGACAATTTTAAGTATGTGATAACATTATCTTTACTGCAAGTGATACATTGTGTATCTTATCTTTGTGTTTCAGAATATCTGCTACTTCCAAGGATACATTGAAGGTTATCCAAATTCTATGGTGATTGTTAGCACATGTACTGGACTCAGGTTGTAATACATAATTGTATATAAAATGGTGTTTTCTTAAAATTAGTGTGGGTATGTGTGCAAGTGTGTAAGTGTGTAGAATGCAAAATGGATGATTAATGGAAATTATTTTAAATGATAGATTCTATCCTCATACTAAATTTAAGTTATTCTTAAATTTTGGGGGTTGCTGAAAGAGTCTCAGCATTTGTTATTTTTATGTGTGTATGGGTGTGGCTGCATGGGTGTGGCTGTGTGGGTGTGACTGCGTGGGTGCTAGATTAGTACAGCGCAGCAACAGGTAGCTGCCGGAGCTGCCACGTGGAGCTGAGAACCAAACCCTGGTCCTCTACATGAGCAGGAAGTGCTCTTATCCACTCAGCCCTTTCTCCAGCCCCACAAAGGTCATAAAATATCAATAGCTGGAAGATACCAATCACATCGATACTGTGTGACTCTCCAGTAGCTCAATAGGAGTTAATGACCTTATGAAAGTCCCTTAGTTACCTGACAACTGACACCTTCACATGCGTTCTTTCATTTATAACTAGTATTTTCTTGTCATTGTTGTTCTGGTTTGACTTTGTCAGGGGCTTTCTTCAGTTTGGAAATGTTAGCTATGGAATTGAACCACTGGAATCTTCCAGTGGGTTTGAACATGTGATCTACCAAGTGGAACCTAAGAAAGGAGACACATTACTCTACGCCGAGAAGGATATGGACTTAAGAGACCTGCAGTATAAGATCCGAAGTATCAAGGTAGGGGATTAATTAGGTGGTACCAAGTAACTTCCTGATAAACTATTTATTTACATACCCCACCCCCACACACAGAGACAGATACCACAGGGATGTGTCCATCAGAAAGCTCATCTGGCACAATATTTAAGACTAGTTACATAAGTTTTCCTGCTCTCTTCCTTAATACTGTTAGCAATGCCATCCTCTTTGTTCCTGAAGTTATTAATCTATGCAGCTCTCATTTTTAAGTAATTGTGTTTACTCTTTGCCAATTCCGTACATGTATATAATGAATGTTAATCATGTCCACTCATCCCCCTGCCTCATCCCACTCCTACTTCATCTGCAGCCCCTCTTCCTTCCATTCTGTCCCCTCCGACTCTCATGGCCTGTCTTTTTCTGTTTCGTTTTACTGTTTTTGCTTTTTTTGTAAGTCACTGAATTATACTAGATTGTCTTGTGTGTAACAGGTGTGTGTATTTTAAAGCTACAGATGTCACAGGGAAACTCTTTTTTTTTTTTTCAAACCGTGTTGTTGTTTTTTAATGTGGCAATTTTATTTATTTGTGACATCAGTTTAATACACATATAGAATAGTCAAGGATTAAATCTATCACCTCACTTCTCACATGTCTCTTGTTATGTACCTATTCCTTTACTCTTTCTCTTACATTGTTTTTTTATTAATCAATCCTTTCAAATTTGTTTTATTTTTATCCTCTAAGAAACCTTAAAATGACATTTTTGTGTATTTTGTACTGTATATTACATTAGCCATATTGGGAAATACATACAAAGCTTACTTGAACAATATGACAATGTTAGTGGCTCTTCCTCTACTAGAGGTAGAGAAATTTTAATCCAGTAGCATGGCTGCTCTGGCAAGGGATCACATCCAAAGACCTTCTAGATCTGTGCGATCTGGCTGGAATGACACACCTTTAATCCCTCTGGCTGGAATACAGACATCCCCTTAGTACACACATTTAATCCCAAACAATGAAGGTAAAGTTAGTTCATAGAAGGAAGCAGCCATGTTTGAAAGTGATGCCTAGTTGACTGGCAGATGAAGTGACAAATCAGAGAAAGATTTGACAGAATGATTCAGAGATAGGTTATGCCCAACTCTCATGAGAATAGAAAGGAAAGAGGGGCTACTGGAGAGCAGTACAGAGTGAGCCAGGAAGGAGGGCAGTGCAGTGAGTGCAGTGAGTGCAGTGAGTGCAGTGAGTGCAGTGAGTGCAGTGAGTGCAGTGCAGTGGAGCTAAGCTCACAGAGCTCAGTATAGGTCACCAGAGCCGATTGATGCCAGAGAATAGAAGGAGCCAAATTAGAACAGATTGCCAGAGTTAGTGTGGTGGTTTTCATATGCTTGGCCCAGGGAATGGCACTATTTGGAGGTGTGGCCTTGTTGGAGGAAGTATATAGTTGTGTATGTGAGCTTTAAGACCCTCATCCTAGCTGCTTGGAAGCCAGTCTTCTCCTATTTGCCTTCGGAACAAGATGTTGAACTCTCAGCTTCTCCTGCACCATGCCTGCCTGGGTGCTGCCATGCTCCCATCTTGATGATAATGAACTGAACTTCTGAACCTGCAAGCCAGCCTCAATTAAATGTTGTCTTTATAAGAGTTGGCTTAGCCATAGTGTCTGTTCACAGCATTAAAACCTTTACTAAGACAGTTAGTCTGAGACCAAGCAGAGCAATTCAATGAGAAGCCAAGAGAAACCAGTTTGAATTAGTCAGCTTGGAGAAGAGTTTGGGCCAGAAGAGCTGAGTTACACTAGCCAGCCAGAGTTAAGAAAGAACTAAAAAGAGTGAGCTGATTCAGTAGTAAACCTCCAAGATGACAATTACAACTGGCAAAAATAAAAGTTACCTTTACAACTAATGAGTGCCTGCTCACGTCTAAAATGACTTATTGAGACACACGTCACAGATCTTCTGTATCTCGTTGGCATCTGCTTTCACAGTTAAATAACAGTAATGGATCTAAAGGCATGTTCTTTTCCGTTTTGCCTTCCTTTTATGGATAATACACAATTTTGCATTTATAGGATGGTTATATACAAATGGAATCTTCAAATGTGTCTCTTTTATGATTTTTACCCACCAATGTGCTCATAGTTGTAGCATTCTGAAATGCCAGTTCCTTTTTATGGTTGAGTCATCTTCCATTTCAGGAATGTGCCACACTTAATTAAGCACCAGGTGAGCAACTGAGTGATCCCCACTATTTAAGTAATACAATGCTGCCAGGAACATTTGTAAACAAACATTTGTGTTGTTAAGAGCTTTAATTTCTTTTAGGTATATGCTAGGAACTGAATTGCTGGCTCATCTGTTAACGTTATTTCACACTCTAAATCGCTCCCAGATTATTCTTCAGAGTGGCTGCATCTTCTACGTTCTCAGTAGTCAATCCCTGTCTTGCTTTAGTTACAGCTGCCATAGTACATGCGAAGAAGTGGGCCATCCACCCTGAAAGTAGAACTCTTTAAAACCAACAAGTCTACTAGTGTTGTCATGGTTATTTTCATGTACAGTACATTCCTCACCTCATGGGGCACTGCTTTGACTGTTACTGCCACCAACGTTTGAAATAGACAATGTCCTTTCTCTTTTCTACTTACCCGACTTTGGTCTGTTGTCATCTTTGGAACTATAAGTCACAGTTATTTAAAGATAATTTCTGCCCTAGTTACAAAATCACAGTTATTTATTTTATAACAATTTAAAATTAATGTAACCCCTCCACCCTAAATAACCCCCAATTATTTTAACAGGAGATATTTACAAATCTAGGATGTTCATTTAGAAGGTAGAACAAAGAAGACTATCCAAAGAAGTCTGTGACTGTCTTAACTAGAATTTTATTGCTGTGAAGGGACAATATGACCAAGGCAACTCTTATAAAGGACAATATTTAATTGGGACTGACTTAGAATTCTGAGGTTTAGTCCGTTATCATCATGGTGGAAAGCATGGCGGTGTCCAGGCAGAGTCGGTGCTGGAGGAGCTGAGAGTTCTACATCTTGATCTGAAGGCAGCCAGGAGAAGACTCTCTCTACACGAGGCAGAGCTTGAGCATTGGATAGCAAATCCCATCCCCACAGTGATGCACTTCCTCCATCAAGGCCACACCTACTCCAGCAAGGCCACACCTCTTAATAGTGCCACTTCCCATGGGCCAAGCATATTCAGACCACCACAGTGACAATGCAGATGACAGGAACCACAGGTCTCCACCAGATATGAAAACAACAGATAGACAGATGCAACACTAGTTCCACAGAGATAATTGTGCAGACGGGACCATGTTGTCAGAAAGGAAACCTGAAAGGCTTGGGGATGGCTGGGTGCTAACTTGTTGAACAATAAAATTAGATAAACTCTTACGTAGAGCAGAGATCTAGTATCTAAAAGCAGTTGAAAACTCAAGATCAAAATGTGGGTGAATTCGCCTATACCTGGTCTGGGGAATAACCATGACAACATATCTAAGATAACCACAAAGAAAAACTACACAGGAGATCAAAAAGAATATGGAGGTAGGAGGGGAGGGGCGGGCTGTGTTAGACAGAACCAATGTTTGATGAGCCGCTGAGACATGACCAAGGTGACAGGTAGACAGGATCCTGTGACCAAGGTGACAGGTGAACAGGATCCTGGACAATGTGCTTTGGTAATGTTTCTAGTTCTCTTTCTGAATATAAAAAAAATCTCCCCAATTTAGTGATAAGACCAAAAAAACTGAGGCCACTCATCAGTGCTGACATGGAGTTGATGGGTTTCTTTTCAGCCACAGCGAATCGCCTCTCACTATCTCGAAATACACGTTGTAGTGGAAAAGCAAATGGTAAGTGTATTCCAAGTGTATTTGTCTTGTTCGGTTTTATTACTATTATCAGCAGTGAAGCATGAGAAAGGCTATTTTCTTACAGAGTTGATTTCTGACAGAGAGTTGATAACTCTGTTAGTACATTTTAATAAACTCTCAATTGCTTGTACTCTTTGTCATAGCTGGAGGGTCATATTTTATTACAATAGTTTCTCAGGTTTTGCTTCTTTTTTTTTTTTTTTGCTTGTTTACCTTGTTATTTGAGGATAGTTATACATTCACACATACTTACAAGAACATGTGCACAGCCTGCCGTCTCTACACAGACGCCTCTGCCGATGCTGCAGCAGCCAGCACGTGGCTGCCAGTGCAGTCAAGGTAAAGGGTATTTGCACCCCAGCCCAGAGCCACTGGTGCTGCTTTCTAGCCACACCTCCCACCTGTCTCCCCAGCCCTCACAATCCACTAATGCATTCTTCATCTCTATTATCTTTTTTTTTTGACTTCCAAACCATTGTATAAATGGAGTCATTCAGTATGTAATATTCCGGGAGTATCTCACATACAGATTCTGGGAATTTTCCGTCTTAAGTTACTTCCTAGAGGTGGAGAGGTGACTCTCTGGTTAAGGGCACTTGTTGCCCTTTTAGAGGGCTTGGGTTCAGGTCCCAGTACCCATGTGGTAGCTCACAGCAGCCTGCTAAGTCCAGCCCTTGTGATCTGGTGCCCTCTGCTGACTCCCATGGGCACTGCATGCATGGGGTGCACATGCACGCATACAGGCAAAACGCTGAGACATCCATATCTAAATTAAAACTAACATTTTTCTATCAGGAACTATATCAGCCTTAATTTACTAGCAGTGAAACTATATCTTGTACTTTTCCCAGATCTTTTTATATTTTCCACTCTCACATTATATGTATTACATAATATGAATAATAAAGTGGATTAAAACGTTAGTGATGTAAGTAGTTTATTATTTTGCTACATTAAAATTGTAACAGGAGAGTTGTCATCATTAATGTTAAGCAAATATATATATATGGTGATTTTATTTTACAGTTTGAGCATATTGGGGCTGATACAACCGTTGTCACTCAAAAGATTTTCCAGTTGGTTGGACTGGCAAATGCTGTAAGTATCATCTTTTTTTTGTCTTTTTAAAAATGTTTTATCCTTGCTGTCTTACTTTTCTGTTATTGTGATAAAATACTACAATAAAGGAAACTTATAGAATGAAGAGTTTATGTGAGCTTACAGTCCCAGAGAGTTCGAGTCCTTAATGGTAGGGGCAGCATGGTGGCAGGCAGCAGACCAGGCAGCTAGAGCTGGAAGTGAAGGCTCATGCCTGGGACAGAAAGTAGAAAGCAGAGAGAGAGTACACAGAGAATGGTGTGTAGCTTTGAAACCTCAAGGTCCCACCTCCCATGAAATACTTCCTCCAGCAAGGCCATACTTCATAAACCTCCCCCAAACGGTACCAGCAGCTGGTGACCAGCATCACAGGCCAGCACCTATGAGCGACGTTATCTCTCAAACCACCACACTTGCTGCTGTTCTTAACAACCCCCAGTCCTTCTTTTGTGACACTGCATAGAGATGCACGCTGAGTGATGTAAGGGCCATTATTTGGGTTTGAAGTTTCTGCTCTCCTACCTGTGAAGTAGGTTACTGTAAGGGTTACATACAATGAGACATTCCTCAATGTGGGGGGAGGGGACTTGATTAAAGGCAAGCATTTTGAATTATCCATGGGGCTGGAGCGTTGTCTTTGTGGTTAAGAGCACTTGCTGCTCTTGCAGAGGACTGAGTCCAGTTCCCAGCGCCCACGTGATAGTTCACAAACATCTTTAATTAAAGTTCCAGGAGATCTGATGTCATTTTCTGACATCAGATTGGATACCAAGCATGCATATGATATCCATACATACATGCACTGAATACGAGAGAAATGCAACTAATTAATCTAATTTAAAGTATCCAGTGCGACTTTTACGACCAGGACACTTACTGCTGGCTGACATTTTAAGCACTGAGTCCAGGCCTACACTTCAGTTACTAAATGCATGACCTGACCTCGTTTCGAAGCTCTTTTCCCCAGTCCCTTTAGATCGTGTTGTTTGAACAGGTTTTCTGTCTGTGTTCTATTTTAGATCTTTGCCCCCTTTAATCTTACAGTAATTCTGTCTTCCCTGGAATTTTGGATGGATGAAAACAAAATCTCGACCACAGGCGATGCTAACAAGTTGCTGTACAGGTTCCTGAAGTGGAAACAGTCGTACCTTGTTCTTCGACCACACGATATGGCGTTTTTACTTGTGTATGTACATTTTCAAGCTAAGACAGGCTATACCGAGGAAAACTGGCCCACCTGGTCCCTTCTCCAACAATCCACAGACCACATGGGAGGAAAAAAAAAAACAAAAACAAGTTCTCTGTGATTCCGCCCCTCTGTGTACAACAGCACACAGCTCGTGTTGGAACAGGTTACCTACAGTAGGATTATTAAGATTCCCTACTAGGTTGGTCTGTATTTGAAGCTCACTTCTTCAGTCCTGCTTCCAGATGCCTTCTTACCATAGAACACACAACACTCCACCAAATGCCCCTGGCTGTGCACCACAGGTTCACATCTGTTTGGAAGGCCTGCATGTATTCTGTGAATGTAGTCACTTAGCTTTTATCTTTACCATAATGATCATAAGAACAACAAGAAGGAGAAACTGAGGAGACAGTCCATGGGGAAAGCGCTCCCTGTGCGTTTATGAAGGCCCATGGTTAGAGTTCCAGCACCCATGTAAAAGCCAAGAGGCCTAAGCTTCTGCAACCCGGGGGCTGAGAGTGTAGAGCAGGCAGATCTCTGGGGGCTCACTAGCTAGCCAGTCTAGCCCAAACACCATGCTCCAGGTTCAGTTAGAGACCCTGCCTCAAAAAATCAGGTGGAAAGAAGTAGCCACAACCCTTTAATACAGCTCCTCTTGTTGTGGTGATTCCCAACCATAAAATTATTTTCGTTGCTACTTTATAACTGTAATTTTGCTACTGTTATGAATTATAACGTAAATATTTTTGGAGATAGAGGTTTGCAAAGGGGGCACAACCTACAGTTTGAAAATCGCTGAGAATTTTCTTTATTTTTTAATTCGCATTTATCTCAGAGGACGTACCCACTTTATTCTAAAATAGTCACTGCCTTGAATTTGTCTTCATTATGTTTCAGACATCTGTGCGCTTTCTAGTTTTTAATTGATTTGATCATTTTTAGAGAATGCAGGATCACTGAGCATATCCTAGTCCATGTCAAGAGTTTGAATCACCAAATGACACTAAAACCTGCCCTATGGAAACAGAGTGTTAACTTTACTGTGCTTACTTTTGCAAAATTCTATGATTATAGTCTGTTTTCACTTCAGCTACAGGGACACTACCGATTACGTTGGTGCCACCTATCAAGGGAAGATGTGTGACAAGAACTATGCAGGAGGCGTTGCTCTGGTATGCTGTGCCTTAATCTGCCTGATTAAAATGTATAATGGGGGGGAGCTCCTTGCTGAAGTGTGTTTGCTCCTCTGTAGAGGACCCAGCTCCAGTTCCCAGCACCCACTCACTCACACTCTTAGCTCACAACCAGACTCCAGCTCCACGGGATGCCCTCTTATGGCCTCTAAGAGCACTGTTCTCTCTCTCTCTCTCTCTCTCTCTCTCTCTCTCTCTCTCTCTCTCTCTCCCTCCCTCCTTTCCCCTCCCTCCCTCCCTTCCTCCCCCCCCTCTCTCTTGACACACACACACAATTAGAAATAAGTCTTTAGTGTATAACAGACTGCTGTAGAAACAGTATAAAATTAAAGATCCTGTTGATTTATTATTTCCATTAAAATTCGCATTCCTAGGCTCCTAGGGCGAGGACACTGGTGTGGGCCTGATCCCATCTCACCTTGGTGATTCTTGCTATAGAACTCGTTCCTTCCCTTTACATTTGCGATTACATGATGTCTACTGGAGTTTCAGAGAGGCAGCATAGGATGATCTCCCTCTAATAAGCAAGATGGAGAACAATGGAGCTAGGAAGGAGAGAATTCTTACTGGAAAATCATAAATCGTATTTTGGAAAACGTAGCCTCCATTTTATGGAGAAAGTGATTTCCTTGGTCTCTAAGAGTGGGGCATAGGACTTCCTCAAACATTCACATGTAACACACATGCGCGCACACACACGCACACATACCATGCAGCAAGGGCTTCACTGGTTAGCACAGAGGGAGAATACATCTGTCTAAAGGCAGACTGGTTACCAAGTACAACCCAACTGTAGAGGACTGGAAAGCCTGGGATTTGCAGGCAAGAAAGAGTAGTTGCCACCAGTGGTTGCCACGGAAGCACCATGACTGGCAGAGGCCTTCCCCAGTACTTTTCCCTTTCCCCACATTTCTTTGGGGTAACCATCATTGATCCTTAGCCAGGAAACCCCAGCAACATCCAATATTCACAGGAATGAGATGTTGAAATACATAGGTGCAACTCAGCTCACTAATGTTCCCCCGTTCTTCATCCCCACCTCTCTTTCCATAATCCATCAGGACCATGCAGTGCCAGCGAGGCACTAGGTCCTATTGTCCTGCTTCCTAAGAACCGGTATGGAAAAACAACCCAAGCTCAGCTATAGTTGCAAAGCAAGTGAGAATGATCAGTGTGTGTTTTTAAAATTTAAAGACAGACAGACAGATAGATAGATAGATAGATGGATGGATGGATGGATGGATGGATAGATAGATAGATAGATAGATAGATACCACTTGCCTTACATACATAGACTGTGTAATGGTTATGACAGACAAATTAATGAAGGGAAGACTTCGGTGGGTGACGAACCTTCTGTGTGATTCTGTGTGAGCCATGGGGGCCTGATTTCCCAGTCACCGTGTAGGAAAGCTGAGTCTGGCAGCGCACACTGTGCTGGGAGGCCAGAGAGAAGAGGATAGCAGAGCTCCCCAGCAGCCAGTCTAGCAGCCAAAATGAACTGAAGTTTTACAAGAGACTTTGTCTCAAAAAAATAAAGTGGAGGGCAAAGAGGAAGACCCCTGAGGTGGACCTCAGGCCTCCACATGCATACCCAAGATGAACACACACACACACACAAATACACCACAGATACACGAAATAATACATGCATACATATGTAACGTGAATGAGCACAGGCTTCATCAGACAAGGCACTCTGCCCTGTGAGTCTGACTACTGTAGTTTTCTTACTAAGGGAGATTGTTTCCTGTGCAAAGGAAAGCCTTTTTTTCTCCCTTCATAACCTGTGAGCATTTGATGGTGGACTTGAACAACACTGAGTGGGGTTAACAATGGTTCTCTTGTGTCTTTTCTGACCTATGGGAGAAGCGCTGTCTGGCTCTAGAAGATGAGACAATTTCCCTGCTCTTTGACATGAGAAAAAAAATCTCAGCTGTGTTTTGAATCAGTCTGTTGATTCAGCTAGTTTCTTATCACAATTTTAAAATAATTTTTGATGGCCTTTGTATTTATTGTCATTGTACATCCATGACTATTTTCCATGCCTGCATGCATGTCTGTACACCACAAGTGTGCAGTGCCCTCAAGAGTTCAGAAAAGGGTGTCAGATCTCCTGAGGCGGGAGTCACAGTTTTGAGCATCTATGTGGGTGCATGGAATCAAACCTGGATCCTCTGGAAGAGCAGCAAGGGCTAACCACTGAGCCATCTCTCCAGACCCAGCAAATGTATTTTTATTGTGCACCTCAATATTCTAATTGGGATTTCGATCCAATTGAAACTTATTTAAATTATTTTTCTGAGTGCCTCACCTTACTTACATTATTCAAAGGCACATTTTTGGTCCATTCCCCTGTTTGCAACGTCTGTGACGAGCACAGTGCATGCTTCCACTTGACTGTGTGGCTCTAGTTAGTAACTAACTACATTTTCCTAGCCGCAAGTGAACTGCCTCCCACACGCGTACACGCACATTTGTGGTCTGGTGTGTTTTCTTTTCAGCACCCCAAAGCTGTAACTCTGGAATCACTTGCAATTATTTTAGTTCAGCTGCTGGGCCTCAGCATGGGGATACCGTACGACGACGTGAGCAAGTGCCAGTGCGGAGTGCCCGTCTGCGTGATGAACCCGGAAGCGCTGTAAGCCTCGACTTCCGTGCCTCGCCCCGAGACTTTATATTATGCTAATTCCTGCTAAGGAAAACTAACATGCTAGAAACTGTTAGATAGGTTTCTGTTACTGTGCTAAAACACTGTGATCAAAAGCAACTTGGAGAGGAAAGGGGTTTATTTCACATTTCATTGCAGTCTATCACTGGGGGGCGGGGGGACAAAAAAACAAAAAACAAAACAAAAAAAAACACAAAACAACAACAAAAAAACCCCACAGAAGCAGAGAACTGGAGGTAGGAGCTGAAGCAGAGGCCATAGAGGAGTCTGTCTCAGCCTGCTTTCTTATTGGACTCAGGACACACTACCCACAGTGGGCGGAGCCATCCCACTTGGATTGTTGGTCAATAAAATGCTCCACAGTCATTCCCACAGGCCAATCTGATAGTCTTAATTAAGGCTCCCTCTTCCCAGATGACTCCAGCTTGTGTCAAGTTGACAAAAACTAACCAGCACAGCAGACATTCCACCAGCCAGAGCCACAGCCCCAGTCCCTTTGCAGAATTACTTAAGAATTCAATGGCCTCGTTAGGAGCTCCCCCGAGCGGGTTGGTGGAGAACGGACAACATCTTTTTATGCTCCTATGTTTACTTATCATGCTGCAGTACAATTGTGTTTAGAAGCAAAGATGGTGGGAGATGGTGAGTCTCCTGGTGAAGAATTTCCTTTGACTTTGTACCTTCTGTGAAAGAGGGGCTAGGGATCCTGGCCGGACAGTGCCTGCACTGTGGTGCTGACTCAGGTCAGAATGTAGATGCTGTGATATGGAGCATTCTGAGACAAGCAAGTGTGGGGAAGAAGCATGTGGGGTTATTCAGACTGAGCACAAAACACAGTTGGTACCCTGGGTCACGGAGTTTCACTCCTACAGATTCAGTAAAGACAATTGGATCAAAATTATTGGACAGGGGGCAATTGCATCTGTTCTCCTAGTCCCTACTTCCTGAAGCACAGCATGCTGGGTATTTGACTAATACCCAGCATTAGTAAAGCATTGACTTTAGACCTTGAACATCATCTAAAGGTGGCAGAAAGTTCACAGAAGAATGTCCATAAGTCAATTGCCCCTCTGCCATCCTCTGTGAGGGACCAGCACCTGAAAATTTGAATATCCGTAGTGTCCTGGAACAGCGCCCTCTAGAGACATGGAGGGATAAGTGCATGTGGGTGTTTATATATCATTTTCACTTCCTACCAGAAAGTACTTACTTCAGAAGGAGCACCCCGAAGCTGGGCATACCTTTTGACATTTGGAATATCAACCAGATTCAACAGGTGAACCACAAAACTAGCCCCAAGATGAAAGACTCATACTTACCCATCACCCACAGGGGGTGATCTTCAGTGACATTAGCAGGATAGCTGCTGGCTCACCACTAAGCATCAAGCCAGTGTGCTGGTCTTCTCTCTCTGCTCTTGACTGTGGGTAGGATGTGACTGGCTGTTGAAGCTCCTGCTATGGCGTCTTTTCATTGTTAGTGACCTGGAATTGTAAATTGGATTAACCCCTTGCTCCCCTAAGTTGCTTTCAGCCAAAGTACTTTCTCACAGTGAGAGAAATGAAACTGGGAGGTTCATCGTGGTTAGAGCCCTTCAGAAAGTAGTGTTCTCCTCCATTGTCCCATAAAGAGAAAGTGTTGGTGAGAATAATTTGGTCTGCAGCCATGGTCTGTTGGCACAACATTGGAGTTGATTGCTTTCTAACTTACCTGGTAGAACTGACCAGTGAGGCCATCTAGGATTGGGTTTCCCCCTTTTAGAAAAGGGTTTGTTGACTTTTAAATTACAGAGATTTTTCTTTAATTTGGGCTATTTTTTCCAGTATGTGTTTATTGTATCAAAAAATGATTATTTAAAAGTCATAAGCTTCTTTTTATAATCTTCATTTATTGCTCTTTGAGAGCTGCAAGGATCTGCACAAGAGGATCAGGTGCCCAGCTAAATCCAGAGGCTCTTGAATAGGAGAAGGAGAAAGAGAGTGCCCAGCAAGTCCATGGGGTGACTGGAGCCGTAAAGCCACTCACCACCTGGATAAGCTGCGTTGTGCCCCAGTAGCAGCATCCGTTCCAGCCTCACAGAGCAATCACATGCAAGACATCACATGGGTGGAAAGCCTCCCTTACGTGGCCTGCTCCTTAGCCTTTGGAAGTCCAATAGAGCATCCTATGTCCTTGAAACTGTGTCTTTGACAGAGAGAGAGAGAGAGAGAGAGAGAGAGAGAGAGAGAGAGAGAGAGA